TATATATATATATATATATATATATATATATATATCAGCTAGGGTTAAACACCATAAACAATATAGTATTGTCGTCTATTGATTTGCCTTGAGGCAAAATCGACTAATTCACTCAACAAATACTTACCTTTAATCCAAAAGCATTTTGGGTGGATTCAAAATTTTGCCTGTCTAACCTGTCTCCCTTCTATAATACATATTTGCAATAGGAACACAAGGCCTGCAAAATTGAACATAACAACTTAACAACTGGGTAAAATTGGTGGCGAAGCGTTCTTTGTAATACTCAAGTTGGTACAAGTTGTAAAATGAGGCTGCAGTTATTGAATTTTTTCATTTTTGTAATACGCCATACATGAAATTACTGTTTAAAAAGTGAAGGAAAACTTGATAATCTATGCAGATGAACGACGACTCATACGGAATGTTTCAACCATTAAGTGATACATTTATTGTACTATTCTGAACAGTTGATAACATAAATTGAATTTCTTAGTGCAATACCTGGCGAGTGATAATGTGAACTGTTGATGAATGCTAACGTCCTTTTTTCCAGGCATCATCATTAGGAATATCTGGAGAATCATCAGAAGCATCCAAAAATTGAAACGATTCCAGTACGTAATTGGAGTGTTAAATCGAGTGAGAAATACCATTAACGGTGGAATAATTTTTGAAGTACATTTTGAGAAAGAAACGACTGGCTTATTTATTACTGTAGCGATAGCTGTCCGAAGCGATTAGTTTTTTCTCCACTTGTTTGTAAAGACGTTAATTTTGATCGATCACGGTAAAAGAACCTGATGAACACTAATGCAAAACCAAGGCTTCCGCCTTTCAATGGTTTTCTTTTTGTGTCACTGACACAAGTTACTTCGTCAAAAATCAGCTAATACTTGGCTGTCAGTAGCAACTGCTTGAAGTTGCATACAGTGTTTCGCCCAAAAACTACCTACCTATGTATATCTTTAACAATTCCTAATGAATCACAAACGAAAAAGTGATGCCAATTAGACAGCAACGTCAGCATAGTTTTTGAAATTTCCCGCCACCCAACCTGGCAGTAAGCCAAATTCCCGCTATCCGAAATGCCTACTATTCCGAATTGCCGATTTTATTCGTTGTTCCTGTTCTTTTCTGCTGGAGACAGTTTTCATGTTGTTCGGGTGCGAGGATAGGAAAAGCCGACAGGTTAGCACAATTTACTTCTCTACAAATTAGAAGTTGAAAGAATCCGGGCTGTAAGATATTCTTCATCGACAAAGTGCGAAATAAAGTGTAGCTGGTTACAGAACTAAACGACTTGCATAACAAAGCCGAGGACAAATTTTAGCATTTGCAAAGGAACAGAAGTGGTTTTTAGATCTTCAAGAAAAGTAACAATTGGAATGAGAGCTAAGGAAAAACCAAACAAAACAACAAAACAGAAGTATGCTTCGGACCCGGGTATAATATTACCCGCGCTTCCGAAACAGGAGTATCAACAAAGTTGAAGAAAGCATGTATTTATGTTTATGAGTTGCCAAAATACTGTTCTGTTTCTATTAAAGAAGAGAAGCACTACAACTTGCTGGACCTAGAATCGTTGTGAAATGATCAAGATAAATTTTCCAAGAAAATGTTTTACATTCTGAGGACTGAGCAATTAAATAAAACAAAGAAATAGTTGTCAAGTCGGCCCAGAGTTACTACGATATTTTTGGCAATTCCGAGAAGACAAGAATATTTTGCAGTTTTTCACGTTTAGGGTTGTCAAGGTTCTGCAGGACCAACAGTATGCATTTTTCAACTTTAGCAGCAATTGTTTCCAGTAACTGATGTAATTTCAATAAATGTTTC